ATCCACTGAGCCAAACCGGTTTCGGCGAGTGGGAGGTTTTTAAAGGACTTTAGGCGGGCTTTTTCTGGGTGGAGAATTCTCTGTGCAGGTCCAAGTTCTGGGAAACTCTGGAGGGGAGAGGTAATTGTCTTAGCAAGTGGAATGTGGTCTAAGTAAGTCGAATGTCCATTGTGAAGTGGCTTAAAGGTCAGTTCCCAGGGGTGGGGGTATCAATTCAATTATTTGATCAGACCTAACACTCACTACTTCATAAATGCATTGGAGGGACCTTATTTTAAGACAGTGACTCATAAACAAAATATGAAAAGTACCTCAGTTATCAACATTTGCATTGGTATTACTTCTTTATAAATTTTAGAATCAGCATATTGAGGTTTTGATGTGGATTGCTTCTAATCTGTAGATCAATTTCTAATATTGCTTATATTGCCCTCTCATTTTTTATTTTGATTAGTTTTGTCATGAGTTTGTAAAATATGTTAATTTTTTTCAAAATTCCAGCTTTTAGTTTTGCTTTACCTCTGTTGAGTGTCTACTTTTATTATTTGCTTTTATTTGTATTCTTTTATTCTTTATACTTTCTTCATTTAATTTTTTTGTTTTTTCTGATCTGTGATAAATTACAAATTTTCAGCCTTCTTTCCCAATGTATGCATTAAAGACTATGAAGTTCTCTCTAAGCACTGCTTTGGTTGCATTCCACGGGTTTTTTGATATGTATACTGTATCGTTTTGCAAACATACAATTTGATATGTATTGATGTGATTTATTCTAAAGTACACTTTTATTTCTTTGACACGACTTTTCACAAATAACTCCAAGATTTAGTGGCATAAAACAGCTATTTCCCCCCTCAATTCTATGGGTGTCTGGGCAGTTTCTCTGCTGTTTTTTGTCTGGGTTCGCTTGTGAGGCTGCAGTGGATTAGCTGCTCTGGAAGGTTCATACCTGGCAGTTTGTGCTGGCTGGTGACTGGGGTCCCTTGGTTCTTATCTAAGTGACTTTTTATCATCAAGCAGGCTTGACCAGTCCCTCACATGGTAGTCTCAGGTCAGCATTCTAAGAGGTGAAGGTGAAAGCAGAAACGCTTTCACTACATTCTATTGCAGTGGTTCTCAACCTGTGGGTCGCGACCCCTTGGTGGTCGAATGACCCTTTCACAGGGGTCGCCTAAGACCATCCTGCATATCAGATATTTACATTACGATTCATAACAGTAGCAACGAAAATAATTTTATGGTTGGGTCACAACCTGAGGAACTGTATTTAAAGGGCCAGAAGGTTGATAACCACAGTATATTGATTAGAACAAGTTGCAGGCCTGGCCCAGATTTTACGATGGGGAAATAGATCCTTTCTTTTTAGGAGGAACAAGGAATTTGTCTAGGTATTTAATCTACTACAATTTCCAAAAGTTTGGAAATTTTTTTTTGTACATTTTGTTGTGATGATGGACTAGACTTGATTATGTTCTGGACATTTTTTGTAAAATTACAGGAATAATTTTGAGGCTTATAGTAAACATACCCTCAGTATAGAAGGAAAGTTTTTCTAAAGGTTCCTGGAAGCCATATTAGCCAGGATACAACTTAAACCAAGTTCCTAAAGAGCACATTCTAAAATTTTTAGTATAGTATCTTAATAAACAGATGCAAGACTCACATTTCAGATTTCATATTTTTGTTTTTCAAAGGAGTTATATCATTGTATGTATACATCATTGTCATGTTAATGCCTCTGAAATCAACATGTCTGCTCTTGAACTTCAAATCTAAATATATTCAAAATTGTTTTCTGGCCCTTAAAATTTATCTTATTAAGACTTGAAATTTAACACTTTTACAATGAGTTTATTGTAGAAAAGCATTATGTCTTTTAATGCTTCTTCTACTGTTATTCTTTTTTAAAATTATTATTAATTGATGTTAGAGAAAGGAAGGGAGAGAAAAACATCCCTAGGTTGCATTACACATGCACCCCGACCGGGGATCGAACCTGCAACCATTTTGTGTACAGGACGATACTTCAACCAACTGAGCCACAATGGCCAGGGCTACTGTTATTCTTTATTAAGGTTATGGAATCACTGTCTTCTGTTCACTCACGGTGCATATTATGAGATCTTAGGAAAATGATCTGTGTCTTTCAGGGCATCAGTTTGGAGCTAAAGGTTTCTATACCTCGTCTACCTTTACATAGTTTTTTGTTTTTGTTTTAGTAACAATAAAGAGTGGCTTTATTGATTTCATAATTTTGACTATATTAACATATATTATAAACTTTAAGAATTAGAAATAAATGACTTTCTTAAACCAGGAATAATTTATGTTATGGCAGTATGTTTAATGAAATTTGTGTTGCACAGTCATATTTTTCAGCTGATTAGGAAACCATTATCCAAGCTGTATATCAGGCCAAGATATAGTTACCCCTATACATGCATTTCATTAAGTAGAAGTAAGCACTGTTTTCTTTTTCAGCAAATACTCCCTTTTGATTATACAGACATATCCTTCCAAAATTACTCTTATTATAATGTACAAAACTTAACTTTTTATTCACAAGAGCTGCCTCAAATAACTTTCACCTTGGAAAGCTACAATGGCACGAGACAGCAAAATGCTTCTCTGGATCTGCATTT